GATGGAACTTTACAAAGAGAGGTGTTTTTTTCAGCAATATGGAAACTGGATGGGTGTTGCCTTGCACCCAGCTGCCTTACGTCCTGTCTCCATACCTTACTGGCCCAGCCCAAGTTCTTTCACTTCCGGCGATCTAGCCCTTCGTCACGCCCGGAAGAATGGACACCCAAAGAATATGGTACCAGGCACCTCCGCCAGCAGGACAAGGACTCGCTGGATATAAGGACGTCTCGTCAGGCAGAGAGGGAGAGAGCACCAGCGGCAGGCCAAGACCTAACAGAGAGCAGTCGGATGGCAGGAGGGCACTCTCTGCCCTTGGCACTCAGGGCGTGGGTCACTCTCGGGGGTTACACCTTTACCTCTCAATAAACTCCTCAAGCAAGTCCCCTTTCATTCACCACCACCCATATGGCCCCAACTTCTTGACAACTGGTGGCTTAATGGTGGAAGAACTTCACAACGCCGAACGTTCCTGAAAGAAGCTCCTGCCGAAGTGTCTCCTCACCTTAACGCCAGTCATCGCTACCAAGATCCACGCCACCCACACCATGTCTGCCACACTATGTCATGCTGACAACTCATGCCTGTGCTACGCTACCGACGAAGTCGCTGAAGATGAATTCCCAACCCACTCTCGCCAAGTCTTCCCTAACCTTCGTCAGCACAAGCCATGAAATCACACTTCGACCCTACAACACTGATACTCTCTCGCTACTTTAAAGAGTAAGTGTACCTTTTCAGTGCCAGTTTAACTATTCGCCCTCCCTAAACCCACCCACACCTTACATACAAGTTGCCTTTTCTTAACTAATTCTATATTACAAAGTTTCTCATTGTTAATAATTGAAAGATGGAATAATGCATTACCGCATTTTTGTCATGAACATTATAACCTCTCCGAACGGGATTCGATCCCTCGCCGCCAATGCACGTGAATGCAAGACGGCCGCTCTACCACTCGTACACGACCCACTAAAAGGAATATGAAACGAGGAGCTTACTAGCATCCATAGAAGTTACCTACCTACTCATACATGAGCAAGGATAGCGAAGTTTCTCACTCACGTCTGTGCTCACGGGCTTCTTTCGTTTTAAGGTATTGGTGAATATGTAACTAACTGGATGGAGTCGAAATCTGTTGGATAGAGGTAATGCACTGCAGACACCATGTTTTATTTAGGCCTACATATTATCACCGCAATTTAGTTTTAAGCTGCTATGTTACTACGAAGAAATCGCGCCCAGACGCCGTTAAATCTGCTACGAAGAATTGCGCGCCACTGCCGCGCTTGTCTTCTTTTTACAGCGCAGAGACGCTCACGTTTACTTTTAAGTTCAGGCCAAGCTGCCTACATGTGTCTGAAGCATATTCACTTGCCTATTTAGCCGAAGATATGGAATTCTTGCTCACTAACTTTCTCTCTACAATGTAATGGTACTCTTTTGAACTCCTAACAGATCCTGAGTAATTTTCATTACATGTTGCGTTCTCATAACAAATGTTCTTATTACTTTCATTTTCTGGCATCTTAGTAAGGTACTGACAAGTAAAATTACCATCGCCCTCCTTAGCCCGTTTACTTGCCTGGTACACTTTGTTTCAGCCCCTGAAGACGATGTGACAGTCATACTGAATGTTGCACCTCACTGTGAACCTCCGCTACGCTGCTACTCTGACACGCGACGATCTAAGGGACCATGGAGCACCAGCAACCATTTGTAGAAGCATATTGGGAGCTTGCCACCAGACGCGCCATCAGTGCATAAGACGTTGCAGACGGCTCGAGGACGAGCCGTTTGCATGGCCGAGCAGTATGTCAGCAATATGGAAACCGGATGGATGTTGCTTTGCACCTAGCTGCCTTACGTCCTGCCTCCGTACTTTACTGGCCCAGCCCAGGTACTTTCAATTCCGGCGATCCAGCCCTTCGTCACGCTCGGAAGAATGGACACCCAAAGAATATGGTAGCAGGCACCTCCGCCAGCAGGACAAGGCGTCGCTGGATATAAGGACGTCTCGTCAGGCAGAGAGGGAGAGAGCACCAGAGGCAGACCAAGACCTAGCAGAGCAGTCGGATGGCAGGAGGGCACTCTCCGCCCGTGGCACTCAGGGCGCGGGTCACACCTTTATCTCTCAATAAACCCCTCAAGCAAGTCCCCTTTCATTCACCACCACCCATACGCCCCCAACTTCTTGAGTTTTATTTCTCTTTCAAGCATTGCATTTTATATATTCCTTAATTGCTTTTGTATGAGGGGTGCTATTAATTTACAAAATTATGCAAGAGATTACAATGTAATTCATTATTATAATTTACTATTGTGTTGTAAGGAAGTACGGTATTTCTCAGTACATGGCAGTTTACAGGGTAAAGAGTTTCATTTGCCTTATCTGGAAATTGGTTGTCATAGTTTTTTGAGTTTCACAAATTAATGCAAACATAAAGATAAGGTACGACCCCCACATGGCTTTAAAACCTCATGGGGAAGCGCGCTCCAGCAGAAATGTGATTTGCTGATGCAAAATTGATAGAGTACATGACATCGTAGGTCAGTTGAAATGTGCTTGTAATTTGACGAAGCAAATCACTTCTGCTGGAAGGGAGCTTTCACATGCCCGCCGCTTCCATGCTGTCATGTAGAAGGCAGTTACTTGGTGATTTAGACTGTAGTGTCCTGTGGGGGGTCGTACACTTTAAAATCTGACCGCGCGGGGTAGTGGGCATATCTCATGCGAAAGCTCCCTTCCAGCAGGAAGTGATTTGCTTCGTAAAATTACAAGTACATTTCAACTGACCTACGGTAAGTTTCATGTACTCTATCAATTATAGTGTATCTGTCACTGGGGAAGAAGGTATAGGAAAAATGTTCAAGGAAGAATAGAGATAGCTGTCGAAGAGAAAGAGAAGAATTCAGGGAGAGTGGAAGGTGTTAAATATCAAAGATTAGAGGGTGTTATAGGAAAGTATGGTAATGAAAAGGGAAAGGAGGGAAGTAAATGAAGTAGAGCAGTGATTAATAAATGGGAAAGGTTAAGGAGGTAGAGCAATTAAATGAATTGCATTGTATCTGTGACTGGGGAAGGCATAGGGATAATAGGTGATAACGTTAGATATGATTGCCTTAGTAATAAGGGATTAAGTATCTGAGGGTTGAGATAAAGGATCAGGAGTAGGTGAGGGAATAGTGTCTGAGGGTTCAATAGGGATGGTGGGGTCTGGGGAAGGGTATTGTGGTAAGAGATTCACGTGTGTATTCAGGAGGGAGTGGGAGGGATAGTGGTTAGGGATTTTTTTTGTATGTGTGTGGGGGGGGGGTTTAGGATGAAGATGGTATTTCGGGAAGGGGTTGGAAATATAAGGGGGTAGAGCTACTGAGGAATTGCAGTGTAGACTGGAAGGTTAGGACATTGCAAGGAAAGAGGTGGCTGTAGAAAGTAGGAGAAGAATCCAGGGGTTGAGAAAGGGAGACTGCGGAAGATGGTGAAGCATCAGCAAAAATGTCTCGAGAGGAGGGATCTGAAAGGTTGATAGAGAGGATTCTGTAGTATTAAGTGGAAGTGGTAGAGAGGTGGGATAATGTTGGGGGTGTAGGAGGAAGGGGGTAGGAACTTGGGAAGGAAGAGAGAATGAATCTGCAAATACTTTAAATGTTGCAGCAGGAGTAAGAACAGAGGGGTTGGGGAGTGGAGAGGACGAATTTGTTCCCTTGGGTCATCTTTAGGTTTTGATTCTTCAGGGTTTCTAGAGGAATTAGGTATAGATTTCCACACAATTGGCACATGTATGTGACTAAGCAAGGCAATTTGAACGGCCATAACCAGGTTTGGCACATAGAGGGCAGCGGGCTGTGGAGCCACAATGTTTGGCTGGTTGGCCAAAATGCCAACATTTCTGACATTGACGAGGAAGGGGTCGATATTGTCAGCCATGATAGGACAATCCACCAATATAAACCTCATGGGGGAGGTCTTCTCTGTGGAAGCTAATCTTGGCAATATTGATGTGGGATTTACGTTGGCCTCTGGGAAGCACAGTGTAACACTGTACTGCTACTGCATCATAATACCAAGGCAAGAAAGTAGTTCAATTTCAGTCTGACCAGCACTTGTTATACATAAGACAAGCATTTGGGGGAATAGAAACAGTTCCAGTACAAGTGTTAAGAGTTGGGGGAGGTTCAGCCGGAATGGGTTTGCCAGTAAGCTCAGTTAGAGTAGATAGTGCCCGAACTTGGGCTTCAGATGTAACCGTGACAAGGCGTGAACAATCAGAGCAACTTCGAAAGGTAACCTTGCCTACTTTTTCTGGAAGCAATGCTGAAAGAGAAGGGTATTCTCTGAATAGGGAGCTGTGGGGGGTATCACAAAGAATCAATCCCATTTGGCTGGGCCAAATAGAGTACTCAGATTTGCAGAGGAAGAGGCAGTAGAAGGACGAGGGTGAGAGGAAGATGGTAGAGGTAATCCTCTACCTTGGGTCTCAGTCCCTGTCTCCAAAGCCCTCCCACGACGACAAGGAGCTAGGTTTTGGGAGGGTCTTATTAGGTTAAAATGCCCCACCAGATTTAAATATTAATTTCTCTGCCCTGCCCTTCCAAGATTGTAAAATACAAAAGATATGAAAAATATATGTATATAATTATTTTTTGTCTGAGTATGGGCAGAAACAAAGAAAATAATTTCCTTTGACTGGCATAGATAAAGGAAGGTGAACATATAAAAATACTTAAGAAACTACTTCTTTATATTAAACATTTAGATGCAAAATTTTTGAAAGGTTATGAGAAGGTAATACTTTAACATTCTTTGAAAGTGGTTCAATCAAATTGGACTACCACATGCAGACACCTAAAATTAGAACATATATCCAAAACCAGATCTCTGATGGTTTAAAATAAAAGTTATTTGAAGTTGCCTTTTATATCTGAGTGTGTAGTTATTTGATGAGTAACACTTTTTCCTGGAAAAGTATAAACAATGAACAAAGTAATGCACTGCATTTACAAATGAACATCATTTTATTCTCAAATGTTCAGTCAAGACATAAATCTGCTGCAATTTCAAAAATAAAAAAGAGAGAGATCGACATTTGAAATGGGAGTTCACTGTTTGTATCAAGGTACAATTTGTTCTTGGCTGTTTTCATTAAGATTAGTATGTGTTGACAATAATTACAGTATCAAAATACAAAGGACATGATGGTGATTATTTTCAAGATATCAGGTACACTGGTATCTATCTAATTATATATATTCAGAAACAAATGGGTATATGGTTTGCATATACAGTTTCTGACTAGACAACTTCATTGAAAATTCCTACAAGTGACTGTATATACAATTAATTGTAAGACCTCATCATCTGTCTTTGAACATTTGGACTTTACTATTGTAATCACTTGATTTCCAAACAGCTATATTAACACTTTCTATGAAATACATCTTACAAGGACAAATTAATAATTTAATAGAGAAAAATAGTAGTATATACATGTAAACAATGTCTAAAAAAAAAAAAAAGTATTATATACATATATATATATATATATAACCAATGTATATGCACCACATCCAAAAAGTTGCACATTCAGCATGTATTTTGGTGTTTCTCATTTGTGGGATAGCCCCTTGAGTTTAGATCATTAAATAAGAACACTATAGAAAAATTTCTGCACTATCTACAATTTTTTGTCTTTTATTCTCATCCTAATCTTGGAGTCTTATTACAGTATTGGATATCGTGTAAATTTTGGACCCTTTCCTTTTACCAAGTTTCTCTACACCAAAATACAAGGGCTTTTTCTCCCTTAAAAGGGAACATATTAACTCTGCTGTTTTCCTCTCTGGTTTTCTCACAACCCATCTGAATGTTGGCTCCACACCTGGAATTTGAAATAATTGAGTGAGTTTCTACTTTGATCTGGCAACTGCATTAATAAAGTATTTTGCAATAGAGGGGGATGAATTATTTTTAGTCTATGTTAATGTTTTGATGGAATGCAAAAAGAAAAATTTCCTTTCACTTTATATCTACGATTTCTACGGACAAAAGGTCACAGTACTCTAAACTTCATCTCAGACTCCATAACAAAGAAAGGAATGGTGAAAGAAAATGAGTGAAACAGCATGAAAGAAACAAGCATCTTACCAAAGAAACATTTTGCATTATCTCCATTTAGTAGCACATCTATTTCCTTCCCATCTTGAGGATCAGCAAGGCCAATTTTGAGCCTTAAAATGGGAGTGACAGTTGCAGGTGGATCCACAGCCATGTCCTCACTAGCTAGGGCCCTTTCCCTATCTTTCTCACCGGCTGTACTTGACGCAGCTTCTTGGTCCATGACACTTTCAGGGTGAATCTTTGAAGTTGAGGCTGGTGTGCTGCTTCTTGAGGCATGTGAAGCTGGCTTCAGGGGCAATGGTGAGGTTGACATGCCTTGTTGGGGATTGTCCTGTTCTTCTATTGTGCTAGTGGAGGCCTTGCTGGGGAGCTTCTCTTCTGTCCCTCCTTTCATATTCTTCTTTGCATTATCTATGCACTGGATGCATGAGAGGGCAGTCAACGAAGATAAGTCTCTCTCTGAGAACATGTTGCGCAGTGTCGAAGCTGAGTGTACAGTCCCACACTTCTCACACAGCCCCCACACCCAATCATGAAGGCACAATCTACCTGTAGTAAATGGTAATTCTGACTGATTAGCATGCAGCAATCCTAGACATGTGACATGCCCATTGAAAGACTGGTAAAGTTATTAAACTATAAGGAAATTTCAGCAATTTTCCATTTCAAAACTAATCTCTATGTAAAAAAGATAGGAACATACCATTGCCACACTTCTGACACAAGTCTTTATCAGGATAGATGTACAATGACTTGATGATGCAAGAGACTCTGTACAGAACTCCCGGCTGGCTGTCTGACTCCATCTCCTTGAGGGACGTGTCTGTATACTCTCCTAAACACTCTGAGGTGGAGGGAAAAAAAAAAAGTGATACATATTTGTCTCAAGTGTATATATACTAATTAAAAATCCTCACAAGCAACTTGGACTCAACAAAATGAAAATTATTTTGAAACCTATAACAAGTTTCAAGTCATTCCCTTGATCTGGAATATCATATCTATGAAAATGAACAAAGGTCTACATAAAAGATCTCTAAATACTAAAAACAAAATACTCATTGGGATTTTACCAGTTGTTACACTCCTGGGCACGAATTTACGTGCTCTCTTATTATTCTCCTTTGTCGCACCTTCCTCAACCTCTTCTATCATTGACAACTTGCGTTTAGCAGTTTTCTCTTGAGTCAGAGTTGCAGTACCTAGTGGGAGATGCAGAACGACAACTAAAATAAAAATCAATACTCAAAAATAAATAAAAAATACATTATTTATGCTGCATTTTCTTTCATATCTATATAGTTCATAAGAAATTTTGGCTTTAACACACTTATGAACAATTTACAGAACCTATTTTTTTTAAGCATCTTTACATGGAAGACAATCGAATGAGGTGCTTGCAACTACCTCTAGTGTACATATGTAGTTTCCAAAGATATAAAGTGTAAAAAAGACTGAACACATACAAACAACATCCACATTTAACCAAACTCCATTTCGAGGAACAACTTACGATGATCACTGTTACCAAAGGAAGGCACTGGGGAAATGCGTGGCATGTCTGCATTCCTATGATCATTGCTGGCAACGGACAGCGAGGGGGATATGGGTGGAAGACCTAGATCTTCACGGGTTGCCGAGTATGAGAGGGAACAGTCACCGCTTGCTCGACTCTCTGGGCCTAGAATATGATGGGTAAACATATATACTTCTTAAAACTACCTGATGATTCAGTATAGAAATATGGGTTTTCCTTGCAGTACATACATCATACTTATCAAACACATACAAAAGAAAACTACAATCTTACTATAAAGCCATCTATAAATTATATTTGTTATATCCCTCTATCAACTCAACTGATTCAATAACCAAAAAAAAGAAAAGAAAAGAAAAAAAAAAAACTTAACTACAAAATGTCTTGGACCAAACACTTCAACAGTACAGGTACAGAAATACGAGTCAAATATAATACTCAAGGGCTCCTACCTCTACCCATAAGCCAAGTGTCAACTGTGAAGAGAGATATTGCAAATTTTAAATAATTCACAATTAGGGTAGCGGGTAAATTTTAATTAAATTAATAATTAGATACAATACAGGGATAACAAGTGTGTGTGGGAGGGAATCTGGAAAACCAAGTAGAATTTGGAATGTTAGGAAAAATGGTGGTGAATTTATGTCCTCAAAGTACATGTAATCAACTGGAAGAGAAGGTATCACAACTGATAAAATATAATAATAAACTGTATACATCCTAGGTATAGCAGTAATAGGGTTTCCTCTACAACATAATGACATTAGCTAAAAGGAAATTTATGACATACAGTGGAAGGGAATTCATGACATTGATGAAATTAATTATACATTACATCATTTAGGGGAATATTTATGACATCACTTGTGAAGACATCCATAAAAATTCACAAATGTAGATGCTAAAAAAAATGTACAAAAAGATTTTATAATATTGAAGACATTATGTGCCCTCACCAAAATCATTTTCTATACCCGCACACAAGATCTCACTTTACCCACTACAGCTACTTTAAATTCTTGGGCACTTGAATATGTCAAACTTGCTTTCATTGTTAACTGTTAATGATAAAAGAAGAGGTTTATTCCATGGTAATCAATCAACCAGAATTAATATAGTTGTGCAATAAAAAAGATAGAAAAAAAAAAAAAACAGAGAAAGTAAGAATGAAAAAAGAAAAGAAAAAGGGAAAGAGAGGAAACACAGTCACTCAAAGTGAAAAAAGAAGAAAAATGGCAATAAAAATATTTAATTGTTAAATAAACAAATTGCATTTTTTCACAGTAAACAAATTGGAAAAAAAGCACATCAGCATACAGCAGACACAATGAGAAGTGAAGAAGACAAGAAGGAAAGAAAGAAGAAAAAAATAATAAATGTAAGTTAATGTGATATGGCAAGCTCTGACTTACAATAACCTCATGGACTCACCTTTACTGTGGACATCAGATGACATGCGTTGTGTGCTGGTTGGCAGGTCTGGAGGGAAGACAATACTGCTCATATCCTGATCAAACTCTGTTTCCAAAGATGATGGAAGGACATTTAAACTTTATGACATTAGGTGTTTTGTTTTGAATGTCATGATTTTCATATAATCCAATTTATTTCTTCTAGTCAGCTTCATTTCAAAATAGGTAATACTTGAAAACACACTCAATTCATCAAAAATAATAGGTAATACTTGAAAACACACTCAATTATATGATGTATCTAACCATCTAAAACTTACATTATGCAAATATTTCCGAATCACACCCACACACATACTCAAGTGTGCATACATGTGTACATGAACTTACACCCACACACACAAAAATATATAAATATATATATATATCTATCATTACATTAACCAATCAGTCAACACACCTACTTACTAATCTCTCTGCCTACCTACCTGCCTTGCTCCCTATCACTCTATCTATCCATCTATCTATCCATCTTCTTTTGGCAGATATATATTTATAAACTGTTACTCTATCACTTTTCAACTGCCTGTACCCTTTACCATGGACTGACTGCGTCTGTCGAATAGACTGACTCTTGTGGCCGGGACTGCGCTCCTGGGATACCCCTTCTGACTTGCTGTGGTAAGAATAAGAGGATTTTGTTGGTTGAATTTACTCTCTTTATAAACAGACTAATGTATATGACACAACAGATGACAAAAGACAAAGGAAAAATGACAAACTTGTAATCCTCATATCTTCTGAGGTAAAACACTACACAAATAATTAAAGAGCACTAAAGCCATCTAATTTTTATTTAATCTGTTTACAATAAAAAGTTTTAATACCTCTGAAATATTTCCATATTACAAGTCCATATCTTTAATAAACAGCTGATTTGATAGATAGTCTAAGGTAGATGGAAATACAGACTATACCAACCCCATATCCTCAGACTGTGTATGAAACCCTTCCATTGCTTGCTCAAGAGAGTCCGTATGCATTGAAAGCTGTGGAGAGTGTACACTTGAAATCTTGTCTCTCTGGGACAATGGAGACCCATTTCGTGGATGAGATACCCTGAAAAGAACAATAATAATAATTTCCTGAATTGTAGCTTTTCCTAAAAGACAGAATTACAATACTACATGAGATCAGGAAAGAAGACAAATAAATGAGTTAGTTTATCCATATATGAAAACTTTCAAATATTAACCCTTTCATAACAAAGGCAAAAATACATGCTATTTCTACTGTGATTCTCATTTATTAATTGTGTTTACACATAGATGGCTCCACAAGTGTGGAATTCATGATGTACAGATTGCAACAGGAACAACGAAGGGAAGGGCAAGAAAACACATGAATATGCCGAAGGCCTTTTCACTATTGCTTCGTCAGAAAAGGCCTTCGGCATATTCGTGTGTTTTCTTGCCCTTCCCTTTGTTGTTAATGTTACATGACTCCACCAAAGTCAAGTCACCGAGGAATCCATTACTAGTCCTATCTTGTGCCTGTTTTCTCTTGTCCTTGGTTTTTAGTTTTCTTTTTTTTCAATTGCTAATAGTACTGTTAACAATATCATACAAATCATAATAGCAATAATAATAAACACTTGTCCAGAAAATTCAGAGAATGGGGGAATCAAGTGAAGTCACATCAGTCTACTAACTGATTTCCTTGGTGACAGTGCTTGTGGGGCCATCTATGTGTAAACAAAATTCATAAAAACAAAACAGTTGTATGGGTTAAACTTGAACTGTATTCATTTACCAGTAAATGCATCAAATAATAACTTTCAAACATCACCTTGTAACATCAAAAATTCTACCACTTAAAAACAGAACTTTTATTTCTGATGAAAGTGGTTCATGCTAAGAGGAGCCTTCTTTGTATATGCCTGATCTCCTTTGATGCCACGTCGGATATACACGTCCATCATATACATGAACCAGTTCATGCACGTAAGGGCCAAGATAGTAAGAGAAAAAGAAAAAAAGAGAGGGAGAGATGTTATTTAAGCGCTGTAAGCCATTATTTTTATAGTAATATGCAGTGTTTAATGTGGTTATTTCACTTATTTTCGCCTTTTTTTTTTTTTTTTTTTTTTTTTTTTTTTTTTTTTTACTTTGTATTTTTCAGGAAGAAAAGTAAATGAGGGAGAGGAGAGTAGCAGTTCTCACGAACTTGCTTGGGCTACTAACCATCTCAGATAGATATGAAAATAGATAAGGGAAATAACATCGGCATCCGCAAGGATAACTTGAACCGATGTCATTTCATAGATAAGAAAAAAATATGTATTGTGCATCATTTCCACTAATCACGATCAGCAACTTCACAAGGCAAAAGAATAGCCTTGGACCATGACACAACAAATCCTATACATGAAGATTTGACTTAACAGTGTTCTGTTAAACTGTGTGGAAGAGTGTGTGAAATGATTGCGTGTATGTTTAACTCATCACAGCAACATTGCGGGTAAAAGAGATAACCTGCAATCATGCATAGTGTTTGTTTGCATGAATGAGTGTGTGTGTATGTAATTATGAGTGTGAAGAGAAAGCGAGCTCACACGAAGATGGATCACAAACGTTCATTTTAGCAAATGTTATAATCATTACTATGTTAACACAACAATTGTTCAATTACCCCAAGAATTCAACATTAAATGAAATGCGACTTAATGTACGCAAATGAATGGTGACATGAAATTTCTTTTGCAAGCTTCCGCAATGCAAGCATCCCAGTTCAGAAATGTTATGTGTTATCCCCGATTATTTAATCATACTTACGGAGGCAACAAAATCTGATACACTCAGGAAATAATATCTCGCTTACGCATGTAAGAGCTAGTTTTCATCGACAGAGGGTCCCCTATACCCAAATTATCTGAACGAATGAAGTGACTATATGAGACTCGAATTTTATTGTTAGTCTTACTCTACAATCTGTGAATGGCGCACGCAGATATCAACTATGAATCACACGATTGTCAGAATTTTCCGGACATGCCAGCAGTAAAGAAAGTGAGAAGGTTGTTTTTACTAAGCGAATTAATTCCAGCTTAATCCCTAGTCCCTTTATAATCAGACGTTAATACAGGTCACATCGACTCAATATTTTCACGCTTAATTCATTAAAATGAATTTAGAAATATTTGCAATCAAGCTTTAATTTTCTGCACCGAAGAATTGTCACTGAAATAGCGTTGATGGCCTAATTACAGGTCCCTGCCCTCCACGACCAGATGAAAGGGAAGTGAGATCAGCCGGGGGTGGGGTGTGTGGGTTAAGTGTTTACTACAAAGAAGTAAATGATATGCACGTTTGTAAGTGTAAATGCTGAAATCAGTAAAAGAATAAAATAAACCAAAGATTCCAACAATGAGTGAAATTCAATAATCAATTAACAAAATTCGTATAAGAAGAGAAGGAATACACAACATTCGCAACTGATCGCGAATTACAAAAAAAAAAATTCTCAGCTTGAGAGAAAATCACGACAACTTGAGTTGAATTTTATTGTTGTAGTTGAAACAATATAAATAAAGTTAATTATAAAGAAAATAAATTATTTAAACAATGATATTCATGATTGTGACCTGGACCTGACACATCCTGAGGAAGTGACCTCAGGTCCTGTGATTGACAGACTGTGAGAGTGTAGCCATTATGCTGTTAAGTTTTCACTATTAGCACTTTCCACCAGCAAAACCATCGTGGAACGGTTTGCTTAACACATATATGGGGGAAGAGAAAAGGAAAAAAGAAAAGATTTGACCCATACATGTACTCACATGGTTTTATATCCTTGTTATTCATATCGCGATGTTTTTATAGGTGAGTGGTCCTATGTTCTTCGAAGTTCTGCGTCCGGTTTCAAGCCCAAAGGTCGAAACAACCACCGTCTGCCACCAGACTATAAGAGGTACTAACACCTCTATTTTATAGTGTATTTGAATTACAGGTGGCATCAGGGAAATACTGAATGGCTTCAGTCTTTATTAAATAGATCACACGATATGAAAACTACGGCATGCCAGCGCTCCGTGCTTGAGGGTATGCCAGGCTGGGCCTCGGAGAGGCAGCGGCTGCGGTGGCGCGGTCACCCCAGGTCAAGGTGTGAGCAAGAGTGAGTGAGTGAGTGAGCATGAGAGTCAGCTTGGATGACCTTATATACCCCTTGGCTGACGGCGTGGCCTCTATATTTAGAAGAGCGTGGTTTGGGTGATAGCGTGGGCAGGCCCTACACCATGTGGTGGAGGACCACACGTGGGAAGTAGGTATTGCATGTATTGTACCTTTATAGGGAGAGAGAGAGGGAGGGAGAGAATGAGGAAGAGAGGGGGAGAGAGAGAGGGAGGAGAGAGGGGAGAGAGAGAGGGAGGAGAGAGGAGGAAGAGGGAGGAAGAGAGGGAGAGAGAGAGGGAGGAAGAGGGGAGAGAGAAGGGGAGAGAGAGAGAGGGAGAGAGTGAGGGAGAGGGAGACGGGAGGGAGGGAGAGAGTGAGGGAGAGGGGAGGAGAGCGAGGGAGAGAGAGGGAGAGAGAGAGGGAGAGAGAGAGGAGGGGGAGAGGAGAGGAGAGGGGGAGGGAGGGAGAGAGAGGAGAGAGAGAGAGAGGGAGGGAGGAGGGAGGGAGGGAGGGAGGGAGAGGAGGGAGAGAGAGAGAGAGAGAGAGAGAGAGAGAGAGAGAGAGAGAGAGAGAGAGAGAGAGAGAGAGAGAGAGAGAGAGGAGAGAGGGAGGGAGGGAGGAGGGAGGGAGGGAGGGAAGAGAGAGAGAGAGAGAGAGAGAGAGAGAGAGAGAGAGAGAGAGAGAGAGAGAGAGAGAGAGGAAGAGAGAGAGAGAAGAGAGAGAAGAGGAAGAGGGAGAAGGGAGAGGAGAGAGGGAGAGGGAGAGAGGGGAGAGGAGAGGAGAGGGAGAGGAGAGGAGGAGGAGGAGGGAGGGAGGGAGGGAGGGAGAGGGAGGAGAGAGAGAGAGAGAGAAGAGAGAGAGAGAGAGAGAAGAGAGAGAGAGAGAGAGAGAGAGAGAGAGAGAGAGAGAGAGAGAGAGAGAGAGAGAGAGAGAGAGAGAGGAGAGAGAGGAGAGGGAGAGAGGGAAGAGGGGAGGGAGAGAGGGGAGAGGGAGAGGAGAGAGGGAAGAGGAGAGGGAGGGAGGGGAGAGGAGGGGAAGAGG